AGAAAAGACAGGACATAGAGGAGTGAATATAAAGTCACCATGAGGCTAGCATGAAGGCTCTGCCAAACAAGGAGGCCAGAGGCTCAAGAATTCTGATTAGAGTTCTTTCCTTTAATGCTTCCATGTCTCCAAACTTCAAAACTGTCTCTGCCCTTACTTCCCTGTGAGATAAAACAGAGAGGAGCATCTACTCAACTACTTCTTTTTACAAAACTTTAAACATGGGTTTTGTCTTTTCTGGGTATGTTTATATTATACATTATAAATTCTTTAGTGATACTCATTGACAAGGGGTTCTTGGGTGGCACAAATGGTTAAGTGCTCAATTACTAGCCAAAAGGTTGGCAGTTTGAAGCCACCCAGAAGTGCCCCAGAAGACAGGCCTGGCAATCTGCTTCTGAAAGGTCACAGCCTTGAAAACCCTGTAGCACAGTTCTGCTCTGCACACATAGGGTTGCTGTGAGTTGGAATCCACAGGACAGCAACTAACAACAATAGCAATTGGGGAACCACTAAGGACAATGTGCCTTTCTCAAACCGTATCAATAATATAATGAATAATTTTGAACTTTGGTTTATTCGCTCCCTTCCAAATGATCTTCACACCACAACAATTTTACCAACTGCCATCAAGTCTACTTCAACTCATGGTGACTCATGTGTTTTAGAAAAGAACTGCCTTCCATAAGGTTTTCAATGGCTGTAACCTTTCAGAAGATTACCAGCCCTTTTTTCCAAAGCACCCTGGGTGGACTCAAACTGCCAACCTTTGGGTTAGTAGCTGAGCATGTTAATAATCTGCACCACCCATGAACTTCTTATATAATTTGACCAAAACCCAAACCAAACTTACTGCCTTCAAGTCAATTCTGACTCATAGCAACCCTACAGGACAGAGTAGAACTTCCCCATAAGGTTTCCAAGGCTGTAAATCTTTACAGAAGCAGATTGTCTCATTTTCTTCTGCAGAGTGGCTAGTGGGTTTGAATTGCTGACCTTTTGGTTAACAGCCCAATGTCTTAACAATGATTAAATCCTCTCATCTTAATCAAGTGGTAATATATGAAAATGCTGGGTACTTTTATAATTAGTAGGGTTTATTGATAACTCTCTTTTCTACAAAAAAAAAAAAGAAGAAGAAGAAGCAGTAACACCCCAGACCTGCCCCTTCTTCCTAGGAGTCAGGCACAGGCAAGTGGCCCTCTTGAGAACTTGGTTTCCAACTGTTCTAACTCAGGGCTGGCTGACCTCAGCCTCTGTCTATTTGTACCTGGATGATACTTCAGCTTCTTCCCCTGTACAACAAAGCTGAATATTCTCTCCAACGCTGCCACATGGACTGTGAGGAACAGGTTAACAGAACACTGAATGTAAGAGGTCACTCACTGGATGAGAGACTCAAAGTTATGGTCCTTCAAAGTTTGGCTGTGAGTCCAAAGGAGGCAAACTAGGAAACCCCCTGGAAAGCAGGAATAGCTTCTTAACATTCCATAGCCCAGAGAGCCTGGATGTCCTGTCTGATCATAACACTGCACATACAGTGCTCTCTTGGCTGGCCACAGCCTCCACCAAGAAGAGGTGGACAGACTTCCAGGAGCCTGTACATATCCACCTAAGGAAGAATGGCCACTGCTCCATAGACCACAACTGATGCACGGGCTCTGGCCCTCCCCTCCTCTCCGCTCACTCTTCTTCACGTGCAGAGATTGGTTCAGGCCCTGCATCCACTCATTTCAGGAAGTAATTCCAAGAGTCCTTTTGGAAACTGACATTCATTATAATTCTTGAAGTTCCATCTCCATTGAAATCCAGTTAAGTTTAACCTGATTCTAATTCTGCTGGCCTTCCTCAACCTGGTCCTACTCACAAGAGGCAGCACAGCCAAACTTAAGTAAATTCACAGGGGGTGGAAATACCTTCTTCACATGTACACAGTTTACTGCTTTGAAATGATATGCTTACAGAAACTCTTCCAAACATCTACATTATGTCTAACCACTCTCTGAAATGTAAATAAAAAGAATAAACATAAACAGAAAACGATTAATATTTGAGCTTGTAGTTTGTGAAAGGCCCAAGAAGGACAGCTTACACGGCTTTTCAAGGTAAGTCACGGAGAGAAGAGACATCACCAGGCCCGCCTCTCTGCCAACTGCCAAAAGACAGGACACAAAACCAAACACAATTTACACTCTATGTCACATAAACAATTAGGTAATGATCTATTCCAATCACTCTTATCAAATATTACCTTGAGACAAACAGCACAATTCTATACAACCAGGAACAGACGCTCGATGCTCCCTGCTCCCAAGCTCAGCACTCCCTGCTAAGCCATTTTGAAGATGTTAGATGTGGCAGGATTTAGTAGCAATTAAAATGATACCCGATGTCAGAATACAGTTTACTGGAATGCAGCCACATTCATTTGTCTATGGACTGTCTATGGCGGCTTTCATACTACAATGGCAGCACTGAGTAGTAGAGACAGAGACCATATGGCCCACAAAGCCTAAAATATTTACTATCTAAAATATTTATTCTTTTACAGGAAAAAAAAAAAAAAGTTTTGCCTACCCTGCACTACATGACTCTTTGGATACAAGGAGGCTTTGAAATGCCCCATCCATGGCCACCAAAATCATCTGCTTGTGATCTCTCCTCTCCTACACCTTTTAGTGATACCAGTTCCAACAGAGAGACACACAGACAACTCCACATCTCAGCTTCACAGTCCTCTCCCAATGGTCAATTGAGCTAAAATAATCACCGAGCTGTGTCCAACATAGGTGAGAACTATAATCAAAGTAAATATGGAGTGCAATGCACACTTGGTCAGCCTGAGTTCCTGTTGCTTTCTTTTATTTATGATTTCCAGGACCACCGGGCAACCAAGAAATCCATTCCAAACTACCACACAGCAGCTTCCCTCCTGCCTTCAGTCCTTCATTTATGTGTAATTATTGTTGTTGTTGTTTGCCGTCGAGTCGGCCCCGACTCATAGCGACCCCTCCTTGGGTTTCTAAGGCAGTATCACTACGGAAGTAGGATTGCCCAACTAATTAGAGAATAGTATTTAACACCTAGCTTCACACAAGTGGGCTGAACAAGGCAGACTAAACAACAGAAGCATCTGGTCAAACAAAAATTGAAAATCTAAAGTCTTAGAAGTCCACCAGCAACTTGTTCATATTGAACTTGGCTTCTTGGCTAGGTTCCTTTCTCTAAAGCACAGCGCCCTCATATGGAGCCAAAGGGAAGGAGAGCCTTCCTGAAAAACCAGAGGACTTAAATGAACCCTCTCTCTACTCAGATCCCATCTGTGAGCGGGTGGAGAACTCACTCTCTGTAGGATTTCAAATCAATGCTATCCAGATTTCCACCCTCAGCTCCTTCACAGATAGCTCCTCGCTGGAAACTTTACACCAAGAAGTATAAACTCTGACCTCGACAGAAACTTACTAAACTTTAGCAAATGGGATTCAGATGTTTCCATGTACAGTACAGTGATGTGACCTAGACTTTAAACACTTTGGCAAAAACATGAAAAATGATGCGGGCCTTGCAGTCCCTCCCAGAACACGATACAGCCTTTAGTCCTAAAGTAATCTGTGCCTTTCTCACTCCTACTTGTGCCTCCTCACCCACAACCCACAGTCTCTGCCCTGGTGATGCACTGGCCTCCAGCCAGGCCCCACCACAGTCTATACCATTTTCCCTGTTTAACCAAAAGCAGCCAAATCCCAGTCAAGCAAAAGTGGATCCTACCCTGATCTGGACTCAGAAAATTCCTGAAAGGGGAACTAGTGAAGGCCAATACTAGGAACCCACCCCAGCATTCCCCTACATTGCTAGGAAGAAAGCAAAAAGATGTGGATCCAGTCTTTTTAATTTTGCTGAACATTTTAGCTGATTTGTTGTAGAGAGTTAAGGGCAAAAGAATTCTTCTAGATGGTGGAACAAGACAAGGTAGAGGTCAGGAGAGCTGTTTCTAGTGCCTAGGAATAACAGACACAAAAGAATATTAGAAACTGCCTCCCTGGAGTCAGGCCTGATGGAAGATAGGGAAACACCATACATGCTGTGCCCTAATCCAACACCAGGCTCTGCTGGGGGCAGCCTGATGCCAGTCATGTGTGATCCTTGCAAGTAGGATGAAAACACTGGGAAGGGTTTGGCTGGGTACTAGGGCTACCAAGTGATCAAGGCTACCAAGTGAGTACATACAGAGCAGAGGCCTAAGAAAAATGGTGGTGCAAACCCCAGGTGCACAAGAACATCTACTGTTCCTCAGAGCACCTGTCACGGGTACCTCAAATGTGGCAGGGAGGGGGGGACACGACACATTGCTGCCACAGCAAGGGAGCATCTAGGGACAGGCATAGAGTCTTATTGCCAGTGTAAATACAGAGCCTCCCTAAAACCTGGCTGGGGTGGATGCAGACAAATGTCTGCTGAGAACACCCTCCTCCTTGCTCTCCCTGTTGGCTAAGAGTGGGTTAGCCCCTACCCTGGAGGAAAGGGAGCCTCCAAACTTCCTCGCCAGGTACAGAAAAGCTGAAAAGGACAGAAAGAAGGTGAATGCTCACTATCCCATCCTCATATCCAAGAATACAGGGAATATATACAAACAGGCATTTCAACAACACTCACATACACACACCCATACAGATGCAATGAATGAAGGACCCCTTTCAGGCTGAAGATTTCCTCTAGCTAGATCTGAGCTTTCCTGGATGTGCTGGGGTATTCACCTGTGCAATCCCAAACCCCACCACCTCCAACTCCCATTCACTCCTGCAGGCCCTGCAAACTGCAGAGACTCAGCACCATACAATCCAATCCGAGAGAGGTGACACTGGACAATCCAACGCTTCCCTTCCTGCCCCGCACTGTGCACAGACCCTCTGCCAGCAGTGGGGAGGGGAAGGTGGAGGTAGGAGAGTTTAAGGCTGAACTTCCCACCAAGGCACCCCCCCACCCGCAGAGCCGGGCAGTACCAGGCCGCCGGCGGCGCCGCAGGCGCTGAGCGAGGCGAGGGAGCCAGGGTGGCCGAGCACCCGACCGGAGTAGAAGCATAATTCTGCAGGCCGGCCACGACGCCCGGCAGCGCCCGCCTCCTCCACCTCGAAGCGGCGGGACAGGAAGCGCAGGTCGCGGCGCAGCTGCAGGTACAGGTCGCGCCCGAAGGCTGGCAGGTGCAGCAGCAGGGCGCGCTCGCCGGGCCGTGCCCGCAGGGCGGCGGGGGGCGCGCGGGGTCTTCGCCTCCGACGAGGCCCTGGGGTGCTGGGCAGCGGCGGCAGGTGCACTTCGTCTGGGTGCACCCGCCGCGGGAGTACCACCTCCACGTCGGCCGCCGCGTCGCCGCCAGCTGCGGGGAGAGAGGAGACGCGTCAGCACGCTGGAGCTCGGGCTGCCCGCCCGCCCGACGCACTCGAGAGCCAACGCTAGACATGGGGTCGACTCGGCCCAAGCGCCGCTGTCTGCCCTTGCTTCTTCCAGCTCCCCCACTCCGGCCGGTGCCTGCGCCTGGGCCCCGCGCCCACCCGGCAAGGGCTCCTGCGCCGCCGGCCAGCGCCTCCTGGACGGCGCCGAGGTACCCGAGAACCGGTGGCTGAGCGGCCGCCCAGAAGCCGCCACAGCCCAGCGCTCGGGTCCAGGCCCACAGGCGCCTCCTACCCCACCGCGGCCTGAGCCTGCCCTCAGGCCGGGCGCTGTCAGCCTGCTGGAGCTCCAGATGCCGCGCGGCAGCAAAACGAAGGTGGCCGGAACAGAAGGGGAGAAGAAGGGTGCTGGAGAGCACGTTACCTGAGCCCGGGTCCAATCCCCAAACCAGCAACAACAGCAAGGGCAAGACGAGAGGAGGCAGCAGGGCGCCGTCACACATGGTACTTGACTGCAGAGTCCGGCGGACAGTCCCGGCAAAAGGAAGAAGGCGGGCGGCGGCGGCGCCAGCCTAACCGAAGCCCTCAAGCCTTTGGAAAAAGTAATTAGCGCTGCGGACAAACCCAACGTGGTAAACCCCGAGCCCCGCCTTCCGCTTGGAAAGCAAGAGATGATTGGGCTCTCGCTCGCTCCTGCCCCGCCTCCCCCTTTCTTATTAGCTAAGACGGGTCAAGACCAGGATACGTAGTTAGGTTGTAAGCACTTTCTTACACGTGGTTTCTGGGCAGTAGCGGAGAGGAGACACCAGGTGGCGCGCGAGAGTTGATCAGAGCCTTGTGATCCTGGAGGGGCCAGGGGAAGACACCAAGCTGCTCTTCAAATTGAGTCAAGTGTCCTCATTTTGGAAATCCTCTTTGATTCTGCTGCCTAGCTTCCTAAGAAGGTGGCCAGAAATAGTCCCGGCCAACCGGTTTCATCCTAAAAAGCATATTCTTTCTGCAGCTAAGGATCAGGGACGATCCCAAAAGCAATTTGAAGCACAGGAGTTTGCACCTCATGACTACAACTGCAGAGTTTATCAAAACATCCTGCACCTCCTGTGGTCTTTATCCCAGCAGAAGCCAGCGGAACGGGTGTGATCATACCTTTTGTTGCTGTTAGTTGCCATGGAGTGGGCTCTGACTCATTTTATGATTTTATGTATAACAAAACAAAATATTGCCTAGTATTCTGCCATCTTCATAAGCAATATGATTCCATTGTTGCGGCTGTTGTGTCACTCCATCTTACTGAGATTTTGTTTTTCATTGGCCCTCTACCTTACCAAATATTGATGTCCTTTTCTGGCAATTGGTGTTTCCTGATGACATGTCCAAAGTAAGAGAAAGGAAGTCTCGCCATCCTTGCTTCTAAGGAGCATTCTGGTTGTATTTCTTCTAAGCCTGATGTTCGTTTTTCTGGCAGTCCATGGTATAGTCAATATTCTTCACCAACACCATAATTCAAATGCATCAATTCTTCTTCTGTCTTCCTTTCTCATTGTCTAGCTTTCATATGCATATGAGGTGATTGAAGAGATAATGACTTGGGTCAGGCCCACCTTAGTCTTCAAAGTTACATCCTTGCATTTTAGATTTGCCCAATGCAATATGTCATTTGATTTCTTGACTATTGCTTTCATGAACATTGATTGTCATCCAAGTAGAATGAAATCCTTGATAACTTTAATGTTTTCTTTAATCACATACCCTCTCACAGATTGAGAAACTCAGGGAGAGTTTACAGAGTGTGATTAATGTTACTTAGTGAGTTTCCAACAAAGCAAGGGCTAGAATTTGTGCCCCTGACTCCTAGCCCAATGCTGCTCACTTCTAAAGGAAAGAGCCCTTCGAGACAGGCAGTTCAGAATATTAGCCCAGTTTAGTAGCTGGAAAGGAATCCCTGGTTGGTACAAATGGTTAGGTCCTGGACTATTAGCCAAAAAGTTGGTGGTTCAAACCCATCCAAAGGCACCTCAGAAAACAGGCCTGGTGATCTGCTTCCAAGACCGTATGGAACACAATTCTACTTTGGCACACATGGGACCACCATGAATCAGAATCAACTCAACATAATAACAACAAATTCTGTTTGGGAAACTGGGCACAAAGTGGCAAAGTTTGGATGTGACCCAAAGTCTTTCAGCAACAGAATTAGTTGTTTCTTTTCCCACCAGATAAGAGGTTGATCTGCTGAAAAGGTGATTTCTTTGCCTTTCTGAGTAGCATCTTGTAGAAAACAAAGCAAAACAAAATTAATTGAAGCATAGTCATTCTGAGGGCTCGCCTCCCTTTCCTTACCTGCTAGAGTAGAGACTGGTTCTTTTTTTTTTTTGAAAGCAGAAATGTTAGGGAACATCTACTGGACTCTTTGTTTAGGGCCTCAAAATATAAAATTCATCACAGGATTATAATCACCAGAAAAAGTCAAGAGATGAGGCTAACTAGCTGTCCAGTTTCCACAACATTTAATTAGCCCTGATATTGGACTGTCATTGATTCTCAATAAAGACCACCACATTCATTAGGGAAGCTTCTGCTCTTCACTTCTCTACAGTGTTCCTGGTAAAATCCTTTCACTCTATGGACATCTGTCTTCCACAGAGGTTTGTCACAGAAGAGCCTGCAGGTCTATCCACTGCTCCAAGGGGCTGCCTCTCTCTGACAGGCTTCTGCAGCTCCTGGAAGCATCAGCACTTGTGAGACTGTGGCTAGGTTGAGGCCTATGTTTCTCCCCCTCAAATGTGTCCAAATCAGAATCCTCAGCAACCTGATGGCTCAGCTGCATTTACTAGAGACAGGAAATCATGGTAAGCTTCTGATGCACCTTTGTTGGCAACACCACCTCAAAAGCTTGCCACCAAAACCCACGGAATAGTGGCTGTACCACTTCACAAGAATGATTACTTCTGCCTTCAGAGTCAGCCTATAGTAGTTACCACCAATGCTCAGATGCATTAGTCCATAAAACAAACAAACAAACAAAAACACCATTGCCTTCAAATCAATTCTGAATCATGGTTACCCCATGTTACAGAGATTTTTCAAAGGTTGTGATCTTTACCGAAGCAGATCATCAGATCTTTCTTCTGTAGCACTAGTGAATGGGTTTGAACTACCAACCTTTAGATTAGAAGTTGAACACAAACCTTTTGCACCACCAAATGGGGCCTTGCACTAATCCATAGGGACATGCAAAACTGAAAGAACAGCAATATGCCATTACATCCTCAGACTAATCAAAATCAAGGAGTTTAGAAATATCAAGTATTTGAGAGTATGCTCTCTTGCCCACTGGTAGGACTGTAAGCAGGTACAGCCATTTTGAAAGACAATTGGACAAATGGTAGTAAAACTGAAAATGTAAACACTCTACAACCCTACAATTCTACTTCTAGTTAACTAGTCTGGAGAAACACTGGAACATGTACAAGAATGTTCATATGAGCACACTATTAAGGGCAAAAAAAAGCCAAAACCTTTAATGTCCATCATGAGTTAAACAGCTAATACAACACCCTGCATCAATTAAAAGAAATGGAATAATCCTATATATATATAATAGAGAAATCTACAACATGGAAGGATCTTCAAGATCAGTTGCCAAAACAGGAGCCACGTTACAAAATGTCACATGGAAAAGTATAAACTTGTATAAACACAAAAATATCAAATAGTTTGGGTGGATTCATATAAACATATGTGAAATCACAGAGAAAATCTAAAAGAATACACACCAAACTTGGTTAAGGTTTATGTTCTTTTACATTAAATTGCATGTTGAGGAAAGGCTGATATATCAAGGTCCAGCTAGTATAACTGATACCACTCTAGGTATTTCAAACAGAGGAGAATTAATGCAGAGAATTAATTGCAAAATCTGGAAGGGCTGAAAGAGGAAGAGTGACTGAAGGAGGGGAATGAAGACAGGGTGATGATCAGAAATTATATGCTGCTGCTGTGCTGGGTTTGGAGCCCATCCCCAAGAGCTTGTGCCTGGCGCTGCACTATTAAAGACACTACCACAATTGATTCTGGAGCTACCAAAGAGGTGTCACCGTAATCAGGGCCTCCTGCCCATTGTCACACCAGCAGCTGCTAGTGCCTACCACACTGAATTCTTATCTCTCCCTTTGCCATCTGACCTCATGCCAAAGCCTCTTTTTGGAAGAACCTAATAGGAAACCTAAGAGAAGGTAAGAGAGTCAGTGTGATAGTTGGAGCTGTGTGTCAACTTGGCTGGACCCCAGTTCTGTGTGGTTGTTCCCATGATGGGATCGGATGACTGTGTTCTGAGTGGCCAATCTGCCCAAGGGGAGTTTCCCTAGGGCTGTGGCCTGCTTCCAGGATATCCAGGGACAACCTGGGAAGAGAAACATTCTTTGGTGGATTGGGACCCTGGTGTGCTGACTACAACCTTCGGTGAGTGAGCAGCCCACCGCTCAGCCTGGAGATCTTGGATTCATCTTTTGTTGGAGTCAACAACCAGTGTACTGCCTGCCAGCCTTGAATTTCTTGCCCCCTGCGCTTGCAGAAGCTAAGGCTGCCTCTAGCCCGAAGTTTCCTCCAGGGACTTTGGACTTGCCGGCTTCTACACGTTTGTGAGCCATTTTCCTAAGATAAATTTCTCTCTTGCTTGCTCTCTCTCTATATATATACACTTTGCTGGTTTTTGTGTTTCTCTAGAGAACCCAATCTAACAGTCAGGAAATATACACTGCAGACTTTCAGTCTCAACAAAAAGTAGCATGGTCCAGAAGTGGGTATGGGGCTGAGACAGGCCCTTTATAGATTTTAATCTGGCCCCACTGAGACTGAATTTCCCTTGCTCCTCATTCCTGTGTTCATCAGTCACCATTAAGAATTTAAGCCTTCCTACCTTCCACTTACTATCCTACAGCATTCCCATCATAATGCTCTGCTCTGCCTTGTCCCTGACCCAAAGCCCAGGACCTCCTCAACCTCTCAACCTTCCCACTATGTCCTCAAGAAGTGCTGCCCCATACCCTGTATCTTCAGCCTCTTCTCTGAGCATTATATAGCATTCTAGACTCTAAGAAAACTCCTTTTTTAAAATTTACTGTGGTAATAAAATTCTACATTTACCAGCCTCTTTTTGCTGCTAGGTATTGTCATATGTCACATTTATGGCTACTGAAATGTAAAAAGATAGCAGCTATAGTTCTAGGATAGTGCTTTTAAAAGGGTTTCCTCAGCTGCCATATACCCCTTTTCACCTTTCTGCTTTACTCCTGCCTGGAATTTGGATATGATCACTGGAATTCTAGTAATCATATTATAAGCATGAGAAGACAGGCCAGCCCAGGGACGGTGGAACAGGAAGCTGGATGAACTCTGGGTTGCTTATGACATCTTGGAGCCACCATGCCAGATCTGAACTATCTACTTCTGGACTTCTCACTATATGAGAGGAAATTATACTACATCTACTAGTATTTGGTGTTTTT